CACCCGCGGCCCCGGGGGGAGGACGGGGGGGAAAAGCAGCGTGCGGCCTCCGGGGCATGCGCAGTCTGGAGAGCGGCGCTGAGAGGCGCATGCGCGCAGGCCCGACCCGCGCTCTGCGCGGGAGTCCGCGCCGTGGCTTTGTTTGGGAGGGGTGGGTGGGGGTGGTAGGCAGGCGACGCATGCGCACAAACTACCGGGGGCGGTGGGTGGTGGTAGAAGACCGTAGAGTAGCGAGGACGCATGCGCAACCTGGCGGGAGCGGCGCGGGGAGCGTTTGCGTAGCGGGTGTGTGTCCCGGGGCGGCGGAGCGCAGTGGTACTAGAGAGCATGCGCAGGTGGGTCCTGCGGGGGCGGGGCAGGAGCCCTCCGGGTGTTGCTGCGCATGCGCCCCCCGCGCCTTACTCTCAGCCAGGCCGCGGCGCCGGGCCGCCCGCCCCCCCCTCGGCCCCCCCCGCCGCTCCTCTCCTGCCGGCCACGGATCGCTGTGCGCGTCGGCGGGGACTGCCGAGTCGTCGGGCCCACCAGGGCGGTGTCTGGGGCCGGGGCGCTGTGTGGGGGGGGGGCGGCGGCGGAAGGCCCGGCCCAGCGGAAGCGGGAGTACCCGCCGCCATTTCCTAGCGCGCTCTCGCCACAGGCTCGCCCGCTCGCTGCCGCCTGACTGGGACTAGGCGCTCTCCGGACAGCGGATCAGGCTCGGAGCCCTAGAACCACCGCGGAGCCCCACCATGTGTGCGTGCGGGGATGGGGGCTGGGCGCGGGCCGGGGGGGGCGGGCCAGGCGTGCGCCGGGCGGGAGCGGCTCTGTGTGTGTGAGGCGGGCAGCGGTCCGAGGTAGAGGAGGCTCGGGGGCGGGCGGGCACAGGCCAAGGGGGCCGCCGGGCGCTCTGAGGGGGTGCGGGCGGCGGCCGTGCTGTGCGGCGTCTCAAAGGGCCCGTTTTGGTCTTCTCCAGCTACCACGGAAACGGAGACGGAGCCGAGCCTCACCCCCAATGTGATGCTCAACACGGAGAGCAGCGAGGGATATGTGGTGAAAGTCAGGGGGCTGCCCTGGTCCTGCTCCACTGAGGAGGTGCAGAGGTTTTTCTCTGGTAAGCAGAACTGGGGGGGGGGGGGGGGGGG